TTGTGTTGCTTGGACCAAGATCATGAATTCAGGACATTGAGTACTTCCGCTCCCCCAACTCCACCCACTGAGCCAGTGCCCCCCACACTGACGCTTCTCCTCTTGTGCCTTAGTCATCCAAGGATGAAGCCGAGATGGCCTACAAAGACTTCCTGCTCCAGTCCAGCACTATGGCCACCGAGGCTCAGGAAGGCCCCCAGGAAGCCTAGATGGTGTCGCCACCTGCCTCCTGCACCCATGACAATCACCTTCAGAATCATGTCGATCCTGGGGCCCTCAGCTCCTGGGGACCCCATTGCCTGCTCTACCAGCTGCCTAGGTTTTTCTTACTGTCCTCAGAGGTGTGCTGGTCCCCTACTCAGTGACATCGAAGCCTGGCCTAATTGTTCCTATTGGGGATGAGGGTGGCATGAGGAGGTCCCACTTGCAACTTCTTTCTGTTGAGAGAACCTCAGGTATGGAGAAGAATAGAAGTCCTCACGGGTCCCTTGAAGGAAGAGGGACAGGGGTGGGAGAGCTGATTGCAGAAAGGACAGACGTGTAATGCCCCTCTGTACCTTTATCATGGGATGTCAACAGAAGTTTCCCTCCACTCCATCCCTCCCTCCCATCCTTTCTCTCTTCTTCTTTCCTTCCATCAAAAGACATATTTGAATACATACTAGAATTCAGGTGCTCTGCTAGATGCTGTGACAGGTATGCCACCAACACCGCTCACAGCCTTTCTGAGGACACCAGTGAAAGAAGCCACAGCTCCTCTTGGCGTATTTATACTCACTGAGTCTTAACTTTTCACCAGGTGTGCTCACCTCTGCCCCTGTTGGGAGAGGTCATAAAATTTCTCGAGTCCTAAAGCCTCAGGGGTCATGTATGATGAGCGCACATACAGGTAATTATAAACCCACATTCTTACCATTTCACACATGAGAAAATTAGGGTTTGGAAGAGTGAAGCATTTTTCTTTCTTTCTTTCTTTTTTTTTGAGATGTAGTTTCGCTCTGTCACCCAGGCTGGAGCGCAGTGGCACGGTCTCAGCACACTGCAACCTCCGCCTCTCAGGTTGACACCATTCTCCTGCCTCAGCCTCCCAAGTAGTTGGGACTACAGGCACCCACCACCACGCCTGGCTAATTTTTTATATTTTTAGTAGAGACAGCGTTTCACTGTGTTAGCCAGGATGGTCTCGATCTCCTGACCTCGTGATCCGCCCGTCTCGGCCTCCCAAAGTGCTGGGATTACAGGCTTGAGCCACCGCGCCCGGCCTCTTTTTTTCTTTTCTTTTTTTTTTTTTTGAGACATAGCCTCACTGTGTCACCCAGACTGGAATGCAGTGACACAATCTCGGCTCACTGAAACCTCTGCCTTCCAGGTTCAAGCGATTCTCGTGCCTCAGTCTCCCAAGTAGCTGGGACTACAGATGTGGGCCACCACGCCTGGCTTTTTTTTGTATTTTTGGTAGAGATGGGGTTTCACCATGTTGAGCAGACTGGTCTCGAACTCCTGGCCTCAAGTGATCCGCCCACTTTAGCCTCTCAAAGTGCTGTGATTACAGGCATGAACCACTGCGCCCGGCCCTGAAGCATTTTTCTCAAAGGCCGCCAGTGAGATAAACTAGATTTGGCGTCTTCTCTCCTGGGCCAGGGATCTCTCTACAAGAGCCCCTGCCCCTCTGTAAGGAGGAGGAGGGAGAAGAGAAAATGTAAAGGAGGGAGATCTTTCCCAGGCCCCACCATTTCTGTCACTCACATGGACCTAAGATAAAAGAATGGCCAAACCCTCACAACCCCTGGTGTTTGAAGAGTTCCAAGTTGAAGGGAAACAAAGAAGTGTTTGATGGTGTCAGAGAGGGGCTGCTCTCCAGAAAACTAACATTAATTTCTTTTTCCCTCTGAGTTCTGTACTTCAACCAGCCTACAAGCTGGCACCTGCTAACAAATCAGAAATATGACAATTAATAATTAAAGACTGTGATTGCCACCAATGAGGCTCAGACTGTATTTGTCCCCAATACCTTCTGTCTCCCAGACAGCCCTTTCATGGCTTTCTTTTCTTTTTCTTTTTCTTTTTGAAGACAGAGCACTCTGTTGCCCAGGCTGGAGTGCAGTGGTGCAATCACGGCTCACTGCAGCCTCTACCTCCTGGTTTCAAGTGATCCTCCCACCTCAGCCTCCAGAGTAGCTGGGACTGCCGGCATCCACCACCACACTGGCTAACTTTTTGTATTTTTTTTGTAGAGACAGAATTTCGCTATGTTGCCAATGCAGGTCTTGAATTCATGGGCTCAATTGATCCTCCCACCTCTGCCTCCCAAAGTTCTGGGATCACATACACGAGCCACTGCATCTGGCTGCCTTTTGCTTTGGTCCTGCTTTTAGGCACCCCGGGACCCCCTTGTCTGTCAAGATCATTCCTAAGTTCTGGTGCTAAACCATGTCATATCCTATAAGGACTGCCCAAGCTGTCTGTTGGCAGCTAGCCCCCCCATCTCATCCCTAGACTCTTCCACAGGGCTTCTGTGTGTGGAGAGTTCTCTCTGCAAGAAAGTTCTCCCCAGTCTGCCATCCTGCCTGATGTGAACCTTTGCTTCCACCCAGGCCTTAAACATAATGCTGTGGATGCTATGAGCTTCCCAAGTCTACACTTTCCTGGACTCAGACTTCAGTCCTCTTTTGGTCTCCCCTCTAGCCCCACTAACTGCAGTACTCAGTCTCAGTTCCCAGGCCCTGACCTGGGTCAGAGCCTTGGGCTTCTATCCAGCCAGAAGAGGGGGCATCAGAAATGTTTATTTCTCTCTTCTGTGATGGGGATGCATAGCTTCTGGAATGACAGCAAATCGTTCCAGGAGGATCAAAATGACAAGATGTGTCAGAACCTACCACTGTCTTACCCTTTCAGGAAGCTGTTCTCTCACTCACCAAAGGGCCATGTTTATGGTAGAGGATTAAGGTGCAACTTCTGTATGAATGCCAATAACCAGCGAGCCAGTCCTGAGCTCGTGTAGCCTATCCCAGTCCTGAGCTCGTGTAGCCTATCCCAGTCCTTTGAAGCAAAGGTCAAGAAATGTCACTATAGCCAAAGGCGATCTTATATTATTCCTAAGTGATATTGTCAATACAGCCCAAAGTCCATCTGCTCCTCGTGTAGCATGAGAAACCCTTTTAAATAAGGAAGCTGGTTCATAGGTTCTGGTGGACATGAGTTTGGAGAAGATATGATTCATCCTAGTACAGGGGAGTGACAATAAACTGCAAGATTGATGATGATAAACCAATTTGCAATGGTCAGTGGCCCCGAGCATTCAAGGAACTATTTAAACATTTGATGACAAGGAAATCTTCCCCAAGTTCTTGAATTATCTTCATGTTTATTATTTTTTAAAGTCCAATATGTAAAGATAGGACTATTATTAAGGCCCAACTATTATTAATGCTTAACCACTGCTGGGCATTATTAAGGCCCAAGAGTGGTTAGGAATTGTTTTGTTTTGTTTTGTTTTGTTTTTGTAGAGACAGGGTCTTGTTTGTTGCCCAGGCTGGTCTGGAACTCCTGGCCTCAAGCAATCCTTCTGCCTCTGCCTCCCAAAGCACAGGAACTACAGGCATGAGCCAGTGCACCCAGCCAGGAATTCGTTTCTAGCAACTGATTTTGTTTGTAAAGCTAAAAAATAGATCTCTGATTTAGACTTTCCCAAAACTCAAGACAGAACATCTCTCCTAAGAACATTAAACAGCAGCGAGAGGAACTGACTGTGCTATGGTCTATGAAACTGGCCCCCCCAGGCAGAGAAACAAGTAGTTTCCCACCCCATCCCTCCCAGCTTTCCTAAAATAATTATCTCTCCTAAGGAGTCTGCACAACAAAAAATAAGAGATCATCTCAAAAAGGCTACCTGTCTAAGTGGACAGTGGACACTCTGAGAGGCAGGCTGTGAGACTGAGACCAAAGGTCCCAGCAGGCTGTGGAGCAAGGCAGGCACGGAGAAAGGATCATCGGTATAGGAGCCAAGCAGCTCTGGAGTTTCTCTTCCAAGGCTGATTCTCAAAAGGGCAGCCAAGCCACTCTCCCTAGAACCAAAAATCTTTGGTCTAGATACAGGAACATGAATATTCTAAAATCCAGGTGGTTGCTGTTATGTCACATTGAAGTTGAACCAAAAGTCCAGCATGTTTGGGGTTTTAACCTCAGAACTCCAATAGGAATATGGCCCTAGTCAGGAAAGAAATCTTAGTCACCGAAATCCTACCATTTATTATCTTCAAAAAGTCACATGGCTGGGTGCGGTGGCTCACACCTGCAATCCCAGCACTAGCACTTTAGGAGGCCGAGGCAGGCAGATCACAAGGTCGGGAGAACAAGACCATCCTGGCCAACATGGTGAAACCCCGTCTCTACTAAAAATACAAAAATTAGCTGGGCGTGGTGGTGGGCGCCTGTAATCCGAGCTACTTGGGAGTCTGGGGCACGAGAATCACCTGAACCCGGGAGGCAGAGGTTGCAGTGAGCCTAGATCACGCCACTGCACTCCAGCCTGGGGACAAAATGAGACTCTGTCCAAAAAAAAAAAAAAGTCACAAATGGGCTTATTGTTGTAAAGGTAAATCCTCCAAGGCCCTACTGCTGAGGAGTGGCTCACTCTGGGACAGGCAAGCCTGGGATCCTTTGGTGCTTGGAAGGACGGGACTACAGGGTGCCTGAGTCAGGTACCTCTACCTGGGGCGGGGGCTTGTTCTTGGTGAGTCCACCAGACAAGGAGATTTTTGTGATCTGTCATTGCAGAGAACAGCATTGGGTCAGGGAGAGGACCACCTGAGGATGGAGACCCTCAGTTTGGGAAGGCCCTGGAAGTGGCCCTTCTAACTCAGCCATGTGGAGATGAAAGCAGAGAAATGCAATAACCAAGCAGAACCCACGACAACAACCTCCCCGCAGTGGCGGCGGCTAATCTCCACTGCACTCTGACCACATTGCAGGCTGTGTGTTGAGTCCCTTGTAACACTTACCTCATGTGATCCTCACAACGGCCTTACGAGAAATGTTCTTCTTAGCCCATCTGTAACACAGGGAGGATGGCAGAGCCCAAGCTAAAAGGTCATCATAGAGAGTGAATGAACACACCTCAAGGACTTACACTTTCCAATGAGGCATTATTTATTCCCTCCACCCGCTGTTGGGGGGCTGTGAATGTTTTCCATCAGGTTCACCCCTTCTGGCCTCTAGAGGGTGTTGGGCCATTGACTCTCTTGCCCCATGGTGTGCTCCAGCCTGGCAGACGCTCCCCTGGGAGTGGGAGTGCCAGGGCACCATGGCAGCCCTGTGAGTCAGAAAGGAGAAATTGAGTTTAGACGAGAAAAAAAGAGGAGAAAATAAGGATGTAAGAAATGTAAACTTCACAATTTCACCAGCAGTCAGTCTTCCCTTGGGCCACAACCCCCATGACCCAAGGGCAACAGCGGTAGGTAGATGGAACAGGCCCAGTTCTGGGGGTTTTGATCCCCTCAAACTCCAAACATTCAGCTCCTGCCCAGCAGTCCTCAGACCCTAACTCTTAGTCTTAACAACCTAACGGGATGTTTTCAAGGTTTCACTTCCGCCACACATGATGCAAAAGCTCCTCCCCACTACCATCCCACACACCTTCCGCCGTGTCTGGCAGGCCCCAGCCTCAGCACAGCCACACACCACACACTCACACACTCATAATCACACACCACACACTCACACACTCCACAGAGCACACTCATGGACACACACCACACACACATAACCAGACACCACACACTAGACAGTGCACACACACACTCATAGCCACATACCACACACTCACACACTCCACAGAGCACACACACTCATAGCCACACACCACCCACACTCAACCAGACACCACACACACTCCACAGAACACACACACACTCATGGACACATAGCACACACACACACACATAACCACACACCACACACTCACACTCTAGGCAGTGCACACACACACACTCAGCCACACACCACACACTCACACACTAGACAGTGCACACACACACACTCATAGCCACACACCACACACACTCCACAGAGGACACACACACTCATACTCACACACCACACACACACTCAACCAGACACCACACACACACTACACAGAGCACACACACACTCATGGACACACACCACACACACACATAACCACACACCACACACTCACACACTAGACAGCACACACATACTCATAGCCACACACCACACACACACACTAGACAGAGCACACACACTCATAGCCACACACCACATACAACCAGACACCACACACACACACACACATAACCACACACCACACACTCACACACTAGACAGAGCACACACACACTCATAGCCACACACCACATACATTCAACCAGACACCACACACACACACATAACCACACACCACACAGTCACACACTAGACAGAGCACACACACACTCATAGCCACACACCACATACATTCAACCAGACACCACACACACACACACACAACCACACACCACACACACACTAGACAGAGCACACACACACTCATAGCCACACACCACATACATTCAACCAGACACCACACACACACACATAACCACACACCACACACTCACACACTAGACAGTGCACACACACACTCATAGCCACACACCACACACTGACACACACTCATAACCACATACCACACACACAACACAGAGCACACACACACAGCCACACACCACACATTTACATACACATAACCACACACCACACACTCACATGCTCCACAGAGCACATACACACTCACACACTCCACAGAACACACACACACTCATAGCCACATACCACACATTTACACACACTCATAACCACACACCACACACTCACTCCACAGAACACACACACACTTATAGCCACACACCACACATTCATACACACTCATAGTCACACACCACACACACTCCACAGAGCACACACACAGCCACACACCACACATTCATACACACTCATAGCCACACACCACACATTCATACACACTCATAGTCACACACCACACACACTCCACAGGGCACACACACAGCCACACACCACACATTCACACACACTCATAGCCACACACCACACATTCACACTCATACACTTAGCCACACACCACACACACACACTCATAGCCACACACCACACATTCACACTCACACACTCCACACAGCACACTCATAGCTACACATCACACATTCACACACACCACAAACAGCGCACACTCATAGCCACATACCACACATTCACACACGCACATACTATGCACAGGGCACACTCACACACTCACAGCCACACACCACACGTTCACACACACACTACACACATCACACACTCACAGCCACACATCCTACATTCACACACACATTACACAACACATACACACTAAGCCACACATCATACATTCACACACTCACACACCACACATCACACACTCACCACCACACATCATACATTCACACAGACACACTACACATAACACATTCACACACTCATAGCCACACACCACACATTCACACACACTACACACATCACACACTCACAGCCACATACCACACATTCACAGACTCACATACTGTACACTCACACACTCCACAGGACACACTCACATAGAGCCACACACCACATCTTCACACACACACACTACACACATCACACACTCACAGCCACACATCCTACATTCACACACACTACACAGCACATACACACTCATAGCCACACATCATACATTTGCACACTCACACACTACACACATCACACACTTACTGCCACACATCAAACATTCACACATGCTACACATAATACACTCACACACTCTTAGCCACCCACTACATGTTCACACTCTCACTACACACACACTATAGACACACCAAACACACATACCACACAACACACATTGCACCCTCACACACCACACCTCAGTCACACACCACCCATACTTCACACGCTCAAACATCAGTCATACAACACACACCACACACTCACACATTCACACATATATTCATACTCACACACTCTTGCCCCCACACACATCACGTCCATTCACTCATATTCTCCTTCTCTGTCTCTCCAAGACAGCCCCAGGCCTCGAGCCCAGTGCAGGGTGAAGCCCAGCTGTGTGACAGCTCTGGGGCATTGGGAAGAGCCCACTAAGTAGGGCAGAGTGGGGCTGATCCCAGCTCGGAGCTCTGGCACTCACTAAGCAGAGGCCCGAGGCTGCCCTCTGCCATCTTGGCCCACTTCGGGGCTGGAGGATATCACAACCACAGCTGCTCTGGGCCAGGGGAGACTCAGATAGGGATGGGGCAGGGCATGCTGCCCACCCCCGCACACACTTCCTCTGCACCTGCTCTGAGCCTCACATTCAACTTCCACCGCGGATGTTGTTGTTTTGGAGAACATGTGACAAGTCTGCTGTGTGGGGGCGAGCAGGGAGTGGCTTACATGACCACTGTGGAATCGGCTCTATCAGTCACACCCTCCCCAGAAACAGTATGAGAATAACCTGGATCCTCCAGGGGCACAAGAGGTCCTTGCACCTGAGGTTGGGCCCTGGGAACTGACCTCCAGGGATGAAACTTCCAGAAACAGAGCCCTGGGAATGCCATTATAAGTAACACCCCTGCGCAGCTCACAATGAAGGCTGCTTAAACCACTTCCATGCCTGTGGGTTCTGCTGGGCCTCAGAAAAGCCATGTGAGGTGGGCAGGGCAGGGGCAATCCCTACTTTATCAAGGAAAAAACCGAGGCCCAGGGAAATTTGCCCAAAGCTAGAAAGTGCCAAGGCAGGACAAGACCTGAGGTCTTCTGACTTGCATCCAAAACTCTTCCCAAGATGCCCTGTGGCCTCAGCATCTCTCTCCATCAGTCATGGGCCTTACCCTTGGGCCCTTGGGGTCCTGAAGGAGGGCTCTACCAGGCTGCCGTGACTTCAGGCAAAGTGGCTGGATGACCTGTCACAGCCCAGTTCTTGTATTGCCCTGGTGGTCACTGAACAGAGGCCTAAGCCCTTGCCACAGGGCAGCACCTTGTGGGAACAGTTGGGGGAGACGAAGGGTGACGGATGGCTGAGGTGCTGCAGAGCTATGGTAAAGTCCCCAGGAACTATGTTCTGCAGGAGGGAATGCCAGGGACCATCTAGTCCCAGCTTCACTTATTTCCTAGATTGAAGAAATTGAGGCTCAGAGAAAAGTAATGGATTGCTCAAAGTCCATAGTTAGTATCCCCACATAGTAGGTGCTCAAAAACGTTTGTAAAGATGAGTTAACTGGTGACTGGTAAGGACTACAGTCAGCATCTTCTGACTTCAGGCCCAAGCATCTGCCCATACAGCCTTTCTCAGGTGGGGAAAATTGGTGATAAGGCTCTTTTATCCTGAAGGCCAAATGAAAGCAAATGACCCCAGCTCGGAAACCAATGAGTATAAGGAAAGCACGGGAGGCCCTGCTAAGAAAAAGCACCAAGACAAAGGAATATCAGGCCTGGTCGCTGCTAATAGTCTGGAGGAACTTCCTAGATGCCTTTTGAGCGGGGTGACCCTTTCTTACTCCACATAACATGTTTTCTCAGCTCCTGACTTCCTCTGCGGTTTGTCAGCACTCTCTTTTTAGCCTAAGACTAGTTAGCAAACAAGGGAGGTTGTCATTTCCTCATCGTGAAGCTTTGTTCCTCGTGGGGGCTAGAAATCTCTTTCTAGCTCCAGATTGTGAAGGCTTCCTGAGTAAGCAGCGTGTCTCCATCCCCCTCTCTAGGGGCTCTTGGGTGGATCTTGCACTCTAGAAGGAACAATGGACCTCTGGCTTTGGTCACTTTACTTCCTGCCAGGTAAGTACTATGGGGAAACACTTCAGACCTCTGAATGAGGTTTGAATTGGCCACAAGTAGAAGAGTTGCCTGGTAGCTCTAGCTCTGATGTTTCTGGATGGATTCAGTTGCAAACCAACACCTAGGGTAGGACAAGAATGGAGGCCACATGAGGTGTTGGATGCCCTCCTCACTCATTCCCAGGGCTCTGCTAATGCTCCTTTCTCCACTCCAGACACTCTCCTGTTTCAGTCAGGTGTTAACTCTGTCACCCAGGCTGGAGTGCAGTGGTGTGATCACAGCTAACTGCAGTCTCATACTCCTGGGCTCGAGTGATCCTGTCACCCCAGACTCTCTAGTAGCTAGGACTACAAGTGCATGCCACCATGCCCAGCTAATTTTTAATTTTTTTGTAGAGTTGGGGTCTTGCTATGTTGCCCAGGATGGTCATGAACTTCTGGCCTTAAGTGATCCTCCTGGCTCAGCTTCACAAAGCTCTGGGATTACAGATGTGAGCCACTGTGCCCAGCCAGGTGTTAACTCTTAAGAGTTGAAGATGTCATCTCTCCTAAACGTATTGCGTATTATTATGGGATCTTGAAGCAAGTGTCTCCATACTTCTTTCTTCTTACCTCTATGCTCTTTCTATAGATCTTTTTCAGTCCTGAATTTCCAGCTTTCAACCCTAAATGAAAACTCTGTAATCCATTCAGTAGCTCTAATCTATTTCCTGAATTCCATATCTCAATTTACAGCTGTCTCCTGGGCAACCCCTACTTCAATATTCCACTGAGATTTGAAATGTAGCCCACCTAACCTTACCTCAAACTCCTCATTGATCACCATCCAAACCAGCTATTTCACCTGTCTGAAGTATCTCTGATCATCAGCCACAAAATGCCAGAATGGCTAATTACCACCTCTTCCGATTTATCCTCATTCAGACCTTGATCCAATCAATGGCCAAATCGTGCAGTTTCTAGATCCGTATCTACCGGGATAAGAAGCAGCAGCAATTGACATTAGGAAGGTAACAGAGGAAATGAACAGGAAAAGAACACACAATCCCCTCTTAACTATCTTTCCCACTTCTTCTAACTCAGGATGCCTGCAGCACCAGATTAATTTTCCTAAACTTGACTTCTAATCAGAGGATTACCTCTCCCAAGAACCTCTAATGACTTCTACTGCCTACTGAAGTCAATGTACACTCCTCCCTGTACCCCCCTTTCATACTCTGAGCCTACCACACTCCCCAACACTTTCTTAACCTCCGGCCAATAGGACTTCTCCTTGAACACAAGCCATACACTCCTGCCACCATGCCCTTGCCCATGCTGTGCCTTCTGCCAGGACCAGGAAACACCCTTCCTCTCACCTTCACCATTCTTTTTTTTTTTTTTTTTTTGAGACAGAGTCTCTCTCTGTCGCCCCAGCTGGAGTGCAGTGGCATGATCTTGTCACACTGCAACCTCCGCCTCCTGGGTTCAAGCGATTCTCCTGCCTCAGCTTCCCAAGTAGCTGGATTACAGGTGTGCGCCATCGTGCCTGGCTAAATTTTGTATTTTTAGTAGAGACGGGGTTTCACCATGTTGGCCAGGCTGGTCTTGAACTCCTGACCTCAGATGATCCACCCATCTTGACCTCCCAGTGTGCTGGGATTACAGGCTTGAGCCACCACACCTGGCCACCTTCACTTTTTATGTGTTCTTCAAAGTTCATCTCAAACTTCACCTCCTTCTTGTAGACATTCCTGAGGCCCCTCTTCTGAGCCCAATAGCTGCCTTGTATTATGTTTAATGTGTGTCCATCTTAATTTGGTTTATTCAGTGACAAGTTCCTTGTGGGTTGAAATGGCTTCCTATTGATGTTTGCTTTCTTTGCGATGTCTTGAGTATGAAAGAAACGCAGGTATTTGTTGAGCTGAAGATTGAAAATCTCTAAAAGTCCAGTGGAATGGAGTTTACATGAAACATCAAACACTGTGAGAGGCCGTAGGACATAGGAGGGTATGGTGGATGGTTAACTAAACTTAGGCCTGAGGAGGAAGAGGGGATTTGGTGGGGAGTGGAAGACCTAAAGGCATGAAGGATCCTCAAATTGCATGACTTCAGTCTGTCCTGAGAAGTACCCCCATTCTAGGTGGGCCAAAAGGGATCTCACTATGGGCCCCACCCTCCTCCAGTCATGCCCATGCCCACAGGGTGAGGAGTTCACAGGCCAGGGAGATGCATACGCCCCAAGCCCACACCCAACCCCACTTTTTTGAGACAGGATCTCACTCCTGTCACCCAGGCTGGAATGCAGTGGTGCAATCACGGCTCACTGTAACCTCAACTTCCCAGACTCAAGTGATCCTCCCACCTCAGCCTTCTGAGTAGCTGGGACTACAGGCACATGCCACCACTCTTGGCTAATTTTTGTATTTTTAATAGAGATAGGGTCTCACCATGTTGCCCAGGCTGGTCTCAAACTCCTGGACTCAAGTGATCAGCCTGCCTCACCCTCCCAAAGTGCTGGGATTACAGGCCCCAGCCAGCATGCCCTACCCAAACTCTCTTTTAGAACTAGAATTCCCTGTCCACATGACTGTGGGCCCCTTTTCAATGATGGTGCAAGCTTCTATCCTGGGTCTTCCTCTTGAGATTGACCCCTGGCCTATAAAAGGTGGCCACAGGTGGCTATTTGGGAAGAAGGTGGGGAGTGGACAAAGACTGTACTTGCAAGCTGAGGTATCTACTATGTATATACCAGGACCCCTGTGCTGTGGGCAGGAGGAAGGGATGAGAAGGAAGGTGGGCAGAGGCTGGGGGCAGGAAGCTTGGGGTTGTTTTCCCTGCATGGCCACGGAGTAGAGTGAACATCCAAAGAGGGTGCATTTGTCAAGCTAGGTAAGTAAAGCGAATTTTATTTAACAGTTCATTCACTTGATTTATAACTTAAAAATATTCAGATATACGGTATTTGGGCCTTAATTTGTATTCCTACCCCAGGTCCTGCAAATGCTGGGGTGGGCCTCCCTAGGGCCTAGTACATGAGGCACAAACTGTAGGCCACTTTGCCTGGAGCCCTGTCTAGAGCTCTTTAATAAAGCAAGGCAGTGTCATGCAGTGTGAGCTTTCAAACCTTTTTACCTTGACCAATACTACATACATACACACATACATACATACAAACATATATACATACATACATTTGATGCTGGGACCCAGCACGCGCACGCACACACACACACACACACACACATAAAATTTATTCTTTATTCTTTGACATGAAGATGAGTTCTAGGCTTCAGCAGTTGGGTGGATGATGGGATCATTGGAAGAGTATGTGAGGGTTTTGGAAGAGAAATCAGTTCTTTCTTGGCTGTCCTAAGTTTGGCATATATCGTACACATTCAAGTAGGGTCCGAGTGGAGACGTCAGAGGCAAGTCTGGAGCTCAGAGGTAAAACTGGAGATCATGTTTTGATGGAATCTATAGCATTAGCCATAAAAGCCATGGGAGTCAATGAGCGAGTGAGGGCAGAGAGGGAGGGAGGACAGAGAAAAGAACAGGTGCAAGGCACAGGCCCTGGGCTAGCCCAGTATGGAGAGGTGGGAGAGAAGGAGAGGAAGAATGTAGGCTGACAGGGAGCCACCACTGAGGGTGTGCACTGGGGAAGCCACACCAAGGCTGTGTTTCAAGATGGGCCGGCTCCATTCTGTCAACCGCTGCTGAGAGGATGAGGGGAAACAAAGATAAAGAGGCAACCATTACATGTGGCAACAGGAGAACTTCAGTGACTTGACAAGAGCAGTTTCAGCAGAACACTGGACATGAAATTCTGATAGGAGTGGATTGAAGAGAAATTGGGAGGTGTGGAAGTGAATCTGATTTAGCAAATTTGATGACTGATTTGATAAAGAGAATAAAGAGGTGTGTTGGCAGGTGAAGGGGAGGCAAAGGTCAACTGGGGAGTTTTTAAAGATGGGCAAAGCCAGGCACGGAGGCTCATGCCTGCAATCCCAACACTTTGGGAGGCCGAGGTGGATGGATCATTTGAGCTGGGATTCAAGACCAGCCTGGGCTACATGGTGAAAGCCCTTCTCTACCAAAAATTTAGCCACGTGTGGAGGCAGGCGCTGTAATCCCATCCATCTACTCAGGAGGCTGAAGTGGGAGCCTCAGTTGAGCCCAGGAAGTGGAGACTGCAGTGAGCCAAGATTGCACCACTGCACTCCAGCCTGGGCGACAGAGAAAGACCCTGTCTTAAAAAAAGAAGAAGAAAAGATGGACAATAGCAGGACACGTGTGTAAGCTATGGCAATGCTAGATAAGAAGGCCATTTTTCTCCAATAGCCAGAGAAAGAAACAGGATCATTGCAGACAAGAAGAACTAAAACATATGTGAATGATGGACTCAGGATACAGGTGGAGGGGCTGGCCTTTGAAAGGAGATAGATACTTCATTCGTTGTGACAGGCTGCAGGCCTGGACACACCCAGGCTACTGTATTTGGAAATAAGAAGCTGAGTGGGATGTTTCTCATCCTTTTAAAAAAAATCCATGCCCCTTTTGATAAACATAAAAGTCACAGGCCAACTCTCCTCTTCCTGAGATCTGCTCTGATTTGAGTTGACTAGGTCCTCATTTGCACTTCCACTGGAAAATCACCCCTAAGTGGGTGCCAGAGTCCCTCTCCAGAGCTCCCCAGCCACCAAGGACCTATGAACCTTGACCTTATTTTGTATGGTGAAAATGTTTTCCCATTTTCAAATCATGTATTTACATCCAGTTATATACTGAGAGTGATTCTTTAAGCCACATTTCTCCCTCTTCCCTATCATAACCACTGAAAATCAAGTCACCAATTTAGAGATTAATGTCACTTAGCAGCCTCTCAAAAATATTACTATTGAACAGGTTGGTTCCTTTTGAAGCCTTCTCCAGTTCCTCCTTTTCTTCCCCGGAATCATTTGTAAATGTTATATATCCCAGGATTGCAGAAATGCAAGGGCACCTGGGACACTTGTTGAAAAACACATATTTCTAGACCATGCCACAGATACATGTAATCACCATTCCTAAGCACAGGATCAGGTCGTCTGCATTGTAGCCATTCTCCTCAGATGAGTCTCATGCACACTGTGCTACTTTAGATGCCTAAACCAGTAGCTTATATCTGTCTTTTCTCTGTTTTCAAAATCTGCTTTACTAAGTCTTGGGAATAGGTTAGAAGCTACCATGAACTTGAGGAGAACTAGTTTCTTTTTCTTGGGGTCTGGTCATTTTCACATCACCAGCTACTGCTTCCTTGTGGACCAGAGCTCAGCATAGCCAGTAGCTTTCCTTGCACTTCATCCATCCAGGGTTTGTACAAGGAGCTCAACAGGCAAGCCAGGGATTTACCGAAAGCTCAACCCTGGGCAGCCTGAGGCTGCTGGAGGTTGCTACATAGGTGATGACCCCATTTCTGCTATCTTCCCCCTGCCCATTTTGTACCATCTTGCTCTTGGGAAAGTGGCATTCACATCTCCCTCCTGGCTGGGTTAGTCTCATTCAAACACTTCCATGTGCTTCCACCCTCGGCGTTCAGCTTCCCACACAGGTGGGGGCTGTCTGGATGCACAAGGTGATTCCTCCAGACCTCCCTTTGATTGTGTCTTTGTCTGTTGATTGACACTTTGTGACAGGTCACCTTTCCATTGCAATGTCTAGTTGTGAGGCTACCTCATGACTCGATTTCCAGTGGGTTTAAAGCTGTGCTGGGCTTTTCATGTGAGGGTTTCCATGTCAGAGTTCATGTTTTTGGCTGGTCCATCTGCCTTAGTTGGCAATTAATCAGACATGGCCTTACCCTCTTCTGTAGTCTTTACCATGTTTATGTCAGCTACACTTTTCGATCTCAACATGCTCCCATACATCCTCCCTCTCTAACCCTCCCCACCCTCCCCAGCCCCCTTTTCTGCTCCCACAATTGTTTTTACCTCTTTACCATTGTCAGAATTCTTCCCTTTGCCCAGCATGTCTTTATCCCAAAGTCTCAATCCCCACCTGTTTCCTAAGCTTCCCCTGACTCTCATTTGACTAAACTCCCTAGTGCTCTTCTTAATGCATGCCCTGTGGATAAATCTCAGTACGTTTGCAAACTTCTCTCCACCCATGGACATGCTATGTTCTCTCTCATATCCTGGTCTTTTAGGGGACTGTTCTGGCTGTTTGGAAGACTCTCTTCTCTTCCACTTCAGCCTTCCAGCCCCACCTCACCACACAGGCACACGCTTTACCCTATGAACTTTCTTCCCAGAAATATGCAGACACTTACGGGATCCACTTAGTTGGCAATTACTCAGGCATGGCCTTACCCTCTTCTGCAGCTGACTCAAGTGCATTAGACCTGACCTCTCTCACTCAAAGCATAAGCTTTATGATGTCAGGGACTCATGAACCATATCTTTTATCCCTCCCCATCACACATACAGTGTGTGCACACCTATGCACACATGCACATACACCCTCAATTCCCCTCCTATGTCCCCCGCCTCTGTGATGAGCATCGTCACTCTCAGTTGCCCTCCATACCCATTCCTTCAGGTCACAACTCAAACATCGCTTATTCCAGAAAGCCTTCCTCCAACCACGCCACCCCCGCAACAGCCTACATCAGGTGCCCGGGTTCGCTCCTTCCAGGGAACCCCGTGCGATCTCTCTCATGGGATGTATTACACTGCTCACTGGCCATTGATTGGTATCACTCACTAAATGATTTGTTCCTGAGGGAGGAATGCCGGCTGGTTTACTGTCACAGGAAAGACATTCAATAAACGCTTGTTGAATGATTTAATAAATAGAACTGCAGACGAATGGCTGGATGGATGCGGCTGAGCGAAACCAAACTGGAAAGGAAAACCTATTGCAACACAACCGCACCATGCTGCCAGCACCACGCTGAGGTCACATGGGGGCTGTATGCTGTTTGGGGTCACCTGAGGCATATTATGTCTCCTTGGAGTGGGAGATATACTTGTGATTATCATCTCAAGGGTTTCGTGTCTGGCTCCTTATGGGTTTGGGTTCGGTGGTGAGGCCAAAGTTGAGGGTTAAATTAAGGTAACACTAGGGCATAGGATTGGGGGTGAACATAGAGCTGGCCTGAGGTTGTGGGTAGGGTTGGGGATGGGACGAGGCTGAAGTTGAGACTAAGGGTAGAGATGAGAATAAGGGTCGGGCACAGTGGCTCAATCCCAGCATTTTGGGAGGCCGAGGCAGGCAGATCACTTGAGGCCATGAGTTCGAGACCAACTTGGGCAACATAATGAAAACCCCATCTCTACAAAAAAGACAAAAATTAGCTAGGCATGGCAGCATGCACCTGTAGTCCCTGCTACTTGGGAGGCTGAGTTGGGAGGATTGCTTGAGCCCAGGAGGTTGAGGCTGTAGTGAGTCATGATCACACCACTGCTCTCCAGCCTGGGTGACAGAGTGAGATCCTATAAGAGGGAGGGAGGGAGAGAGAGAGAGAGAGAAGAAAGAGAGAGAGAGAGAGGGAAGGAGGGAGGAAGGGAGGGGAAAAGAAAAGAAAGAGAGAGGGAGGAAGGAAGGAAGGAAGGAAGGAAGGAAGGAAGGAAGGAAGGAAGGAAGGAAAATAAAGAAAGAGAGAGAGAAAGAAAGAAGAAAAGAAAGAAAAGAAAAAGAAAAAAGAAATGAGGATAAGGCTGTGGCTAAGGATAGGCTGAGGCAAGGCTAATAATGGGGACAGGGCTAGATCTGGGGATGAATGTGAGATTGGGTTGGGTCTTGGGCTATGGTTGGCGAGAGAGCTGGAGCTGGGAAATGGATGGGGCTGGGATATAGCTAGAGATGGGGCTCCCTCTTTAGCCCCATCTCTTCTTTAATCTCTTCTCCCTGCAGTATCAGGGGCCCTGAGGATCCTCCCAGAAGTAAAGGTAGAGGGAGAGCTGGGCGGATCAGTTACCATCAAGTGCCCACTTCCTGAAATGCATATGAGGATGTATCTGTGCCGGGAGATGGTTGGATCTGGAACATGTGGTACTGTGGTATCTACCACCAACTTCATCAAGGTGGAATACAAGGGCCGAGTCACTCTGAAGCAATACCCACGCAAGAATCTGTTCCTAGTGGAGGTAACACAGCTGACCGAAAGTGACAGCGGAGTCTATGCCTGTGGAGCGGGCAGGAACACAGACAGGGGGAAGACCCAGAAAGTCACCCTGAATGTCCACAGTGGTAGGTTCCTCTGCTGATTGGAGGCTCAGACTACCCAGAAAATGGGAAGACTGGGACAGTCATCTAACTGTAACAGTCCCCTAGACTCTGACACTGTTGCCATATAAGCCACATAATGATTGAGATCCATATGAAACCTCGTAGTCAATTAACTTCATGGTCCACAGAATTTTCTACCCAACATGGACGTAAGGAACAAGATAGGCACTCTCTTTGTATTGTCCATCCTACCCAGGGCATGAGGGGAGTGGGGGCTTGAGATTGAGGAGACGCTCTGAGATGGAGGAAATTGGAAGCAAAGCGACATAACTATCCTATGTAATTGTCCCATGAGAAATAAAGGAAAGACACTCATTTACCCAGCCACACTTATAGGCCAATCTTATTACTCTATGACCTGATCCTTTATTTCTCTGGAATCCTGCCTTTCTCCTTTCCTCCACCGAGTTCCCCACACATATGCAACAGTAATTTAACAGCCTAGAATCCCAATGACCTCTGCTGATTTTGCAGGGAATGTTGACTGGACTAGGGGAACCAGTATTTCCTCCAGAGAAGCCCCCAACCCAGCTCCTGTTCTGCTTCTTTCAGTGGACCCTGCCCTCATCCCCTCACTGTCATCCACTTTGGCTGAATTAGCTTCAGTTTACACCAACAGACCCTTCCCCAAGCCTCAGTCTCCTCCTAGAGATCACCAACACATTCTGCTTCCCTCCAATAGAATACGAGCCATCATGGGAAGAGCAGCCAATGTCTGAGACTCCAAAATGGTTTCATCTGCCCTATTTGTTCCAGATGCCTCCATATGCCAGTTCTTCCAAAGTCGTAACCAGAGGTCAGTTCATCATAGCGAGGGTAGGAGAGGTGGGTGAGATGCTGTGGCAGTGTGAAAATGGAGGAGGGGGTCTATGTTCAGTTCATAGAGTGGCTGGCAGAGCTGAGCTGAGTCTTAGGTGTGTATTCCCTGCCTTTAGAGAGGGTACATACCTCCCTGAGATCTGCTGTCCATATCCTTCAAGCCTGTCCGACAGTCAGGTCACCTGGTCCTAGCTGCAGAACTTACGTACTACCACCAGGTGGCACCACAAGCAATGACGTTTGTGCTCCACTCACAAAATCCAGCTCTTTTATGAATGACTGCGGAAACCAAGACTGGGCAGACATTTCCCAGCTGGAGATCATCATGTCTCGTGCTCCCCGTAGGGCTGTCTTCTACCTGCTGGCATCTAATGATTTTTAACTCTATTTTGCAACTAAAAGATTAAGGATGTTCATACTAATGATAGCTTTACATTTTGATATCATTGTCCAGTTTTAAATGCATTTTGACATGCAATATTTCCATCATATTATCCCATATGCCGATGAAGTGGATACATTAATTGAACAACATTACACTAGGTAACCCCACTGAGAGCCAAGAGGGATAGTGTAATTGAACAGATCGTGTAGCCAAGGTTGTGACTGATAGGTGTGAGATGGGGGAGAACAGATTAGCCCACAAATACAGCACAAGGCAGAGTGGGAATAGAACTACAAAAAAGCTTCTCCCTCTGCTCAGAGGGGGGCAAGCTCTTCTACCTCGGAAGTCAGGGAAGGCTTCCTGGAAGAAATGGTATTTGAAGCAAATATACTTGGAATTGACTAGGCCTGGATAGCATGTTAAGAAGGATTTTAGGCCACGAGGACTGCAAGAACAAAAGTAGTCTGCATAAAAGGGAAGGGTATGTTGTGGAAAGAAGTGGTGACCTAATCCTGTTGGAGAATAGAGTATATAAAAGGAACATCATTTTTTTCCTGCTACCTCCTGCAGTTACCACACCAGCTCAAAGGACCAAGTTTCCTCCAGTCCACCACTCCTCCCCCACCACCCAAATCACCCACCACCCTCGAGTGTCCAGAGCATCTTCAGTAGTAGGTGACGAGCCCCCAACCTTCCTGCCATCCACTACAGCCTCAAAGATCTCAGCTCTGGAGAAGCTGCTCAAGCCTCGGACAGCCAGCTACAACCACCACACCAGGCTGCACAGGCAGAGGTAAGAGAACACTGTCCAGGATCTAGATGTAGGCTGGAATTAGGAGATCCACTGAAACCCACTGCAATGCCCATTATTAGACACCCTCCTTGGCTTTGTCTCTAGGCCACTGTGAAATATACCACCTGTGAATATAGCTCATTAACTCATTAGCTCTTTTAACAAAAACACACTTGTCAATGCCCCAGCATTGATCCTGTAGCAACTAGTGAAACCCAGCTCTTCCTGTCACTCAGATTCATTCAAATCTATTTTGATGGGGAAGAACTAAATGAGAATAAAAATAAACTTCACTATTAAACTAGTAATATAAAATTACTTTTACTCATTTCCTTTTACTGTTTTAATGTGGCTACTAGGAAATTTAAAATTACATATGTGACTCACATGTCTCCTGGACAGCACTGGTCTAAAGGCTGGGGTGCAGTCCAGGGAAGTACTGCAATATACCACTAGGGGGAAGCATTATAGCAGACTCAAAAAAAAAAAACAACAACAACAACCCCTACAATAATCAAAACTGGTTTTGCATAAGCAAAGACAAAGGTGTTAGTGAGAAACAGGACCTCCAAAATCATTTGGGTTCTATAGGTATGAGAAACTGGGGTCATGAGAGCCAAGTGGTTTCAAATAGAACCAGGACTCCTGATTCCTAACCTATTAGTAGGGAAAACATCAAGTCCAACCAGCATTTTCTTACTCTCTACTATGTGGCGGGCATTGTGCTATGTCCTGAAGATACAAGAAGATGACAGTATGCAATATCCAGATCTTACTAACATAAGTCTGACTGTGATAAAGCCTGAAACAGCTATGACCACAGAATTGGAAACCCAAAGCACACACACAAACACACACACACACACACACACACAGTCTGGCTTACCACAATTAGGAAGAAAAGAGGACTTACACAACGTCTTTTAAGAAAAGTAAGATTTCAATATGTAGAGAAAATTGAGGGGAGAACTTCTAGGCAGAAGGAGCACTATGAGAAAAACATCCTTTTCCCCACCATTATAAGGAACTAGCCCAGTCAATATCTGCAATAATCTCGTGAAGAAACTGACGTGCTGAACATTGGAAGGTGCGTTAAATTCCTTATATCCACTCTTATTTCATCCTCATAACAGTTCTGCGAAATAGATTTTACTATACCTATTTACGAAGAGATAAGGCTCAGAGAGATTAGGAGACTCATTCAAGATCACACAACCAGTAAAAGGCATAATATGAATTTGAATTCAAGTTTCGTGACTCCATAGGCAAGTCTTTTTGAGCGGGGAGTGGAGTGTATTCTGTTAACAAAAGGACAAATCTGTAAGTCATCTCCAAAAACGTTGGCCACACAGAAGCACGCCCTGAACCTACCTCCTTTAATAATCTCTTCCTCCCTCTCTACCTTTCCTTCCCTCCCCAGAACATTGGACTATGGCTCACGGTCTGGGAGGGAAGGCCAAGGATTTCACATTCTGATCTCGACCATCCTGGGTCTTTTCCTGCTGGCACTTCTGGGGCTGGTGGTGAAAAGCGCTGTTGAAAGGAGGAAAGGTGAGTGGCTGGGCTGGGGGCTTGGGGAGGGAGAGCTGAGCTGCCCAAAGAGCCCAGAGCATTCGGAACCCTCTTTTGAACTTCCATGGGAAACTCAGAGAGCTTTTGATGAGCAGCCTGGGGTGTAGGGAAGTGGAGGCCACTGGTCTGAGGAGGACAGCGCCCTGGGCCCTTTGGTCTTCAGGGCAGGGCGAGGCGGTGCCTCGTACATTCCCCACGCTTGGAGCATCTCCAGGTCAGACACTGCCAAGCCCGAGGGAGGAGGCAGCCTTTCGTTTGGGGAAGGTGGCACGGGCTTCTGATGCCATTTTCCTCCCTCTTCCTGTGACTTTGCGGGGAAGCCCTCTCCAGGCGGGCCCGCCGACTGGCCGTGATGATGCGCGTACTGGAGAGCTCCCAGAGGACCCGCGGGTCGCCGCGACCGCGCTCCCAAAACAACATCTACAGCGCCTGCCCGCGGCGCGCTCGTGGGGCGGACGCTGCAGGTGAGCGGCCGGGCGGGCCACGGGGAGAAGCGGAAAGAGTGCGCTGGCACCGGGAAGGCCGGGCGCCTCGGGGCGCGCTCCTAGTATCAGGGCTTCCCGCAGGGTGGAGCTGGGGGCGGTAGCACGAGAGTGGGGCGGGAGCCTCGGCCACCGCCTCACCCCGCCCTCGCTGTTCCCTAGGCAAGGGAGAGGCCCCCGTTCCAGGCCCCGGAGCGCCGTTGCCCCCCGCCCCGCTGCAGGTAAGCTCTGCTCCTTCTGGGATTGGCAGCCGCGGCCCGACTGGGCGGCCCCAGCCCTGGGGTGGGACCCGAGTGCGGCTTCCCGCGCCGCCCCCGCGATCCGGAGAGCGGGTTTCCCAGCAGCTCCTGGGCCCTGAGCCCAACAAGTTGTTTTAGTTTCGTCTTTCTTTGGTGTCAGGAGGTTGAATACCGGGAACTGTGGAAGACCTGGTTCCGTGGCTTCTAGCCAAGCAGTTGTCATGGGATACGTGCGTGCTGGATGCCGCTGGCTTAGCAGAGAATGATAGGTGGCAGCTCCACAGTTCTGTGAAAGGCTTTCTAGTGGAGGAGATTAGATTTCTAGGAGGTCCTAGGGAGGTGGAAGTTACCTAGACAGTTTCACCTTCCTGTGCGCGAGAACTTTCTAGTAAACTTTCGAAGGTGAGAGGAAGTAATTTACCCTTCACTGGAGGCGGTTAGGCCTGGTCTAGAGGAGACTTGGGAGAGATGTAGACAGGGTTCAACACATTGAGTGAGGAGGATTCATCTTTAAATCTAGACTGGACGGAAACTCGCGTTTCCATTCATGGCCACTGATGGTTGGGTGGAAAGCCTTTGTCCATTCATCTTTGTTTAAGAATTGAGATGAGAAAGCTTTTTATTCTCTAAAGCAGCCTACAGTGTCCAAAACACGCAGAACCCAGAATAAAGTTTTTTTTTAAAGGGTGTGGTAAAATCCCTGTTTTTTTTTTTCTTTAAAAATAATTTATTTGATTCTGATTACAAAATACAGCTGAGGAGCACGGGCAATGCCTGTAACCCCTTGGTCGCACATCTTCCCAGTCTATGCTGCTGTAAATACCCATCGTACAACAGCAAGCTCGTGTTGTCCCCAAGCGCTTGCACATTCTAACAGCTGCAGAGTTATATGACCAGGTGGAAAGTTAAACAGATGCTCCACTCACAAGGTAGGGCCCCTCCAATTAGTCTTCCGGCTCCCTTTTGCTAATAGTAACTGGTTGCTCTTCCTATTGGTCATAGATAGATGACACCTGCACAATTCTCCGCGTGCTTTCAAGTAACCTCAGAAAGCAGTGACTAAGCCCCCTTTCCTTGCTTCCAGCTTCCTATGTCCCAGGCTGCCTGTGGCACCTGGACTGCTGCTGCTCCTGGGTCCCGCACATTCCAGGGCCACGATGGAGGAAGGGCAGGCCAGGCCAAGCATGAAGAATTAACTGTCTTTATTGGGCTCAGACCAGGAGTCCGTGGGTCTTGACCACTGTGTGTCAGTTTTCTTCTCCACGTTCTCGGCCTGTTTCCGCAGCTTCGTGAGCTGTTTCTTCTTCCGGTAGTGAATCTTGACCTTCTCCTTCCTCTTCTCCTCCAGCGTGGCTGTCATTGCCTGGTACTTCCAGCCAACCTCGTGAGCCAGGCGCCCCAGATAGGCAAACTTCCTTGTGAGCTTCAGACGCACGACCTTGAGGGCAGCAGGAACCACCATCCGCTTTTTCTTGTCGTGGGGTGGTGGGACGCCGTCAAACACCTTGAGGCGGTCCGGAGCGGCCTGGCCTCACTTGGTCTCCTGGGGCAGCAAGCCTTGCACCGTCTGCCAGAAGATGCGACTGGGGGCCGGAAAGTGGAAAGGGCCTCGGGAAGGGTTGGTGTTCATCCACTTGCAGGGGAAAGCCAAGTACTTCAACTTGTTTCTGTAGAAATTGCCAGAAATGTTGATGCCCTCGCAGCGTACGACCACCACTTTCCGGCCCAGCGGTACCTAGTTAGCCATGATAGCCGTCAGGGGTTCCAGGAGATGGCCTCGACCATCAGGCACCAGGACCTGCACTTCCGCCATCTTCGGCAGCCGCCTGGGAAAAGAAAATCCCTGTTTTAATTCGAGCGTAGACTAAGCTAATGCAGCACAGACTCCAAAAGATAGGGCCCACACGGTGGAAGCCTACTTCCCCCTCCCCAAGTAAAGGCTGAGAGACAAAGGGACAGGAAGAGGTGGCCTGAGCCAGTGAGCCAAGAGGTCGTCTCGGGACTGAAATTCCCTCCGTCTGGTTGCTGCACCATCCTCTGGAGTCTTACCAGCTCCATGGTCAGTACTTAGGCACCAGGACCGTGTGCACGTCCCAGCTTACAGGAGAGAGGAAGAGAATGCTGCTTCTTAAGCCCATGACCCTGACGTTTCCCACCATTTCCACTTGCATCCTACAGGCTGAAATTTAACCATGTAGTGACCCTCCCTTCAGGCAGGCTGAGAAATTTAATCCCCAGCTGGTCAATCGTGGGCCTGGCTACAAAGGGAACAGTAGTACCCAGCAACAAGAGGCAGTTCTGTGCAGTCCCCTCCGGCTTCTCCAACTTGCCCTTCCCCACTCCTGCTAGAGAAGGTTCACACCTGCATGGCAGTGTTCAGCAGCCTGAAGGTAGTAGGCATTCAGTAAGTACTCATTGAAAGGAACTTCGGTATATTTTGTACTTTACTAAAGAGGGAAGCAGCAGCAGCTTGCTTCAGAAATATGTGCACACGGTCCTAGTACCTATGTACTGACCGTTGAGCAGGCAAGACTCCAGAGGATGGTGCAGCAACCAGTCCGAGGGACAGACAGGCGCGACACTGTCTGTCTACTCCATCTTTCCAGCAGCTCTTTTCTCTAAAACTGCCCTATGACCACACAGACCCTCACCTGGGCCTGCACTTTGTTCCAAGCTGACCCTGCCTTTTTACTTGAAACTCTCATTCCCACTATTAGGGGCAAAAAACTTGATGGAACAAGTTTACAACAAGGTGCCTATGCTTAGTGACTCATTATTATAGCCTTTAATAATGGGGAGCGTTTCCATTTCTTAAGCCAAATAAGTTAATCTCAAATTATGAACTATAACAGGCAGTGAAAGATAAATTTTGGGGGTTTTTTTAAGCAAATCTAAAACCATCTCTATTATCAAAGAAAGTTAGTTAAAACATAATAGAAGAGATAGTGTGAGAAACTAACAAAGGGTTTGCTCACTTTTTTCAAAGTTCATTTAATTTAACAAAAACAAAAAACCATGTCATACATCGAGGATTCCCTCTGCCTCATCCTCTTCCCCATCCTCAGCCTCATCTTCTTCCCCATCCTCAGCCTCTTCTTTGGCCTCTAAAGGAAACTCGGATATTACTGCCTTCCTTCTCACCCTGGAAACTTCATCTTGATCATCTCTCTTTTTTCTCTGTGTCACCTCCAACTTCATGTATCATTTCTCCTATTGTTATGTGCTGGTTAATTTGCTTCAGGTTGACATCTTGAGCTGTTCTGGGATCCAGGACTTTCCTGACCGGTCTTACATCATCTAAGTTTTAGGAGTGCTACCCATGTGTGCTTTTTAGCTCTTTCATTGATTACTTGACTGAGTTTCATCCTCACTGACATTTACACCAGGACCATCTAATTTTGTTTCTTAGTTTTCTTTGCTCTCACTGTTACTTTTCTTTTCAACCTTCTCTTTTTTCTTCTTTTCTGTTTTGTGACTTCCTACTTCCTTGACTGATGGAAGACGTATTTTCAAAGCAAGCTGCTGCTGCTGCTTCCCTCTTTAGTAAAGTACAAAATATATAAAAGTTTCTTTCAATGAGTGCTTCCTGAATGCCTACTATATTCAGGCTGCTGGAAGTCTAATTCTCAGAGCTTGTGTTTAAATATATTACCGTCCCCCTTGTGGCCTTCTTCAGTGGATGCAATAGTAACTATGCCATGTGGGGGTCATTGGCACAGTCCTGTCCTCTAAGAACTGACCATCCTCAAGGTGGATGATCCTGAAGTTTCCCTCTGGGGAAAAGGAGCACCAGTGTGCCCTGTGGGCTGCCATCTTATCCCCTTCACCACCCATCCCCTTCCTGAATGCACTGTCACGACCCCACATCACAGCATCTCTGAGCCCTTACAGAGGTGCCGAGGGTGACTCACTCTATTTCTGAATAACTCCCTAAGAAGATGCATATTTATTCCATAAGTCACAGCATCTTATCCCCGAGGGGATACTTCTCTGGCAGCTGGATCTCTTTCAGGCCCATGCTTAGCCACATGATTTTACTCTGAGCCCTATTTAAGGCATTTCCTGCCCACATTAGGTCTCAGTGTTTTCCAGTTATCTCGGGTGAGGCACTACCCTGAAAATCCCCAGGGCTGCTCCACTTGATGGAGCTGAGCCATCTCTGTGTCTTTGCCTTCTGGAACTCAGCAGCCATGCCCATGCTCCATTGCCCACTATGAAAATCCACCTGGGGAGATATTAAAATCACCCTACCCAGATCCAGTGATGCTTCTTTCATTGTCCCCAGGTGTCTGAATCTCCCTGGTTCCATGCCCCATCTCTGAAGAGCAGCTGTGAATATGTGAGTCTCTACCACCAGCCTGCCGCCAAGATGGAGGACAATAATTCAGATGACTACATCAATGTTCCTGCCTGACAACTCCCCAGCTGTCCCCCGACCCCAGGCTCAGACTGTGGTGCCAAGGAGTCTCATCTGTCTGCTGATATCCAATACCTGCTTCGTGTGTTCTTAGAGCCCTCATCACTTCCCAGGCCCCATCTTGACTCCCATCCCCGTCTATCTGTGCCCTGAGCATGGCTCTGCCCTCAGGTCCTCTTGCACACCTTGGCAGCCTCCTGTAGTTGACAGGTAAGCTGTAGGCATGCAGAGCAATTGTCCCAATGCCACTTGTTTCTTTTCCAATCTAACAGGCTGTGGGATTTGCAGAGCATTTCTTCCATGTCTTTGACCACAAGGTTGTTGCTGCCCAGACTCTAGACCACATGGCATCAGGCTGGGGCAGAGGCATAGCTATTGTCTTGGGCATCCTTCCCATGCTTGGGTCTTACACAAGTAGAAGGCTGTTGCTCTGAGTTATGTGGACATGCCTCAGCCCCGTGGACTAGGCAGGGGTCTAGTATAAAAACACTCCCGGAAACGCCTTTGCCCTGATCTAAAAGTTAGCACTTCTAGTGAACCTCTACTTATCTCAAGTTCTATGCTAAAGGCAATTTATCTTGATGTGATGAGGTATTCTAAATTTCAGAACCAAGCTTGTTAGCGAGATATGCATATATATCCATAAACTCTCTTTACTTTGTCTCCATCACTTGATGCACGTAAGTGCCCTGACCTCAGCATCTCTCCTCAAAAAAAAAGGTATTTGTCATCTCTTTATCTTTCTTCCATAGCCTGACACTGATGTTTGTGCACTTACCTTAACTTTTATCTATTTTAGTCATCCAAAGCTATTACATTTCTTGGCTTTCACAAATGTTGCCCATTTCTTAGGCAGTTCCAGACAATGTGGGGAAGGAAAGCAATAAGAAATTCCTGGGTAGCACTTATGTCATGGAAGAAGAGATATCCCAACTCCTACATATACTATTTGTCTAAGTTTTTGGAACAAGGTCATAGTCAGACATTATATCTTTAGATTGATGTCGACCACAAAGTTCAGCCAGAGCTTGAGGCTAGATGCCGAGCTTTGCTGCTGGGAAGAAGGCCTCTTCTAGCTATACTGCACAGTCTCACTGGGCATTCATCCAGAAATAGAGAAGAAAGGCTGCCAGACTTGAGTTGTGTTGTCTTTTATTAGCAGGGAATGTCATCACAGATTGGATGGTACATCCAAGTGCAATGTCAACATCAGCAAGGTCAGCTTGACACTCAAGTGGCACATTAGGGAAGAATGACTAGGACAAAAAGAAAAGGAGGGCACCAAGGGAAAGGGATGATGGGGTGGGTTGGTGAGTGTGGGTGGGAAATGAAATGTTTAGTGAGGATCTGCTTTGTGCTGGGCACTTTAATCCACATTTTATCATTTGCTTTTCAAACCGATGCACCTTACCCCCACCCCAATGCTCTGTCCCTGCAGATATCAGAAGACAGTGTGATTTTCACACTCTAAAGTTCAGTTTTACATGCCATCATCCCTCTCTGTTTTTTAACAATCCAAAGACAGACCAAAAAAACCACCACAGTTTATTAAGTACTTACTGAGCACCCATCCACTGCCCCACATTGTGGCAAGGATTGTGAGGGGTAAAGAAGCATGGGGCACAATATTCTGCTGCCTTCATGTAACTTACAGTCTCACAAATAAATAGAACTTCAGTTGAAATACTGACATTAATTAAATAGAGTTGTAATAAATACAGGAATCTTCTTTGTAGACTCTTCACAGCATCCAGAGGCACCTTCCCTGACTGTCACTGGGGCTGCTTAAAGAATGACTTCTTTGACAATAATCCTGGGCCAAAAATGGGACCCATGGCCAAGGGTATGAAGTGTCCAGTGAACAGCATAGGAAGGGAGACTGTTTGAAATGACACAGGGAATGAACCAGTGGGGGAAGGGGGGTCCTGATCTAGACATTCAGAGCTTGTAGAATTGCTGCATCCAGGTCAGAAGAATGTCCACTTCCCCAAGGGCTTTGGTCAGAGCTGCTTCTATGTCCAACTAAAGGGAAAAGAGGGTTGAAGGTCAACCATGTTAGCTATGAGAATAGTCTTTCTTCTAACCCGCCATGGCTGAAATACACCTGACTCCAATCCATGGGATGGGTCACCTTTGGGATGGCCTCTGATGAGCTCACCTGCTTGTCACTTTTCCTCCATCTACATGTGTTTGTCTGCTTCAGGGGTGAGGACAAACAGGCTAGTGAGTATCAGTGGGCAAGGAACAAGGAAAAGGCACATGGCACGCCTAACAACAGGAACCACAAACTCCAGTATAAGGTGGATGTGTCCCACCACCTGAATCCACTGCACAGGTGAAATGAGCCCAGGTGGCCAGTCTCCATCAGATGTTATTGCTCTTCACCATTTATTTATAGGCTGATGCATCTCTTCCTCAAATAAAAAGTGATCAAAATCATTTATGTTCTGAGGGGAGCTGGGAATGATATTTGGGTTTTCTTTGTTGTCATAATTTTGGAAAAGAAAATATTTTTCTTTGTTGTCATAATTTTAGAAAAGCAAATATAATTTCCCGTAATTGTTTTTCACAACTAGACCAGTTGAGCATCATGGAAAGTACATGGAAAATATGGGGTAGGGGTGGGGTGTCTCCCTCTCTTCTGACTTCAGTTGCCCAGCTCAAGTACCCACAAAACACAGGGAAATTTCCTCTAGCAAAATCATCTTGTAGGAAAATATAAAAGCACTTTAACTTGAAAACTGGAAGAAAAAAGACCACTTAGTTTATGATGCTTCTGCAAATATACCTGTGCTCGTGCTAAGTCAGGGGGTTTTGGGGCAAAGCTGATGCGTCCCCTGCATTACATTCTGCATTGGGTCTCTGAGGCGCCCTCATGTGATGGTTCAGAATAGTCTATTCTACTGGATGGGCAAGCTCTCAGCTCTTGGCCTTACCTGTTTGAATGCTCTCCGGAATAGCAGAAACCGCCTGTGTGCACTGTCTCTGATGGAAAACATCTCATTTTCCTGCTGCATAACATGGGAAAAGAAGTTGTGCCAAGTTTTAGGTAGGAGCAGATGCAAGCTCCCTCTCACTTTTCCCTCTCACTTTTCCCAAAAGCCTGAGAGCCCAAGGCTGAATCCTGCACCTCCAAGGTAGCCAATTCCAAACTCCCACCTTGTGAAAGGGGCTGCCTCCTTTAATTCTCGCAGCAATCCTGCCAGGCAGGAGTGGTCATCCCCATTTTACAGATAACAAACTGAAGCCCAGGAAAGTGGAGGACTTTGCAGAGGGCCACCCAGCGGACTGGAAGCAGACCTAGACTTGAACCCAGAGTTGCCAGTATCCAGAGCCTGTGCTACTCACACTGGGTTGCAGTTGTGACACGATGAGAACAAAGTTGTTGGCCAGAGTAGAGAACGACTTCAGAGTCCTGACTTCAACTGTTCTATTGTGGTAGTTTTTGAAAACAGTTTTCAAGTAGAACTCCAGCAGGGTGTGGACAAGGTAACAGCTCTCAGCATCCTGGGGAAGGTCGGGGTCACTGCTGAGCCAAGGCCTCTGGCCACCCTGACCCCCTGAAGGAACAACCCACATGCCACCCAAGGCAAGATAAGCACAGCAGAGATAGGGATCTTCTAGGAGGTGATGATGAACCTAAGATCTGTAGGAGCCTTCAGGGGCCATGGAGAGCAGCATCTTTGTTTGACAGGAGCAACCAAGACCCAGGGAGATAAATGACCTGCCCCAGGTCACACAGTCAGTCAGTGGCAGACACAGCCTAGCTCTCAAGATTCCTGACTGCCCATCTGGTTAATATTCTCTTTCTTCTATGCCACATGGTCTCTTTAACAGCTATGGGGATGTGATGGGCCCTGAAAAGGGCTTGAACTTGGACTTGGTGATAGAGAGTTGGCTGGAAAATGACTGAGAACAGAAGAAATGAGGAGAAACTAATATCTTTGGACACAGCAATTGCACTCTAACCCCCTCAAGCTCCTGAAGTGCCACATCTTTCAGGGCTCAGGGCTCAGGGCTCAGGGCTCAGGGCTCAGCAGGTTTGTGCTCACTAGATGGGTGATGAGAAGATGGTGACCCATCCTTGATAACATACTCTACCTGATCGTGATGAAAGAAAGGATGAATCCTTTTGTTAGGTATTATTTTAAGTCATGAGCTCACTTCGCAAAGAGAAAGAAAAGTTGTCTCTGGGTTAGGGGTCAGCATAGAAACCATCTCTGCAAATATGTGCTGCTTCCCTAGACCCCTAAATCTATCCAGTCTGTGAGATACCAAAAGCCAGATGGACCAAAGGAGGACCCAGGAAAATGGACACAGAGAAAAGCATGAAAATGGAAGAGGGGATATGAACCTGAGTAGATGCCCATTGGGCCTACAGAAGTAAAAGAGAAATATATAATTCTCTGGCTACATGGAGAAAGATGTTTACAAGCCTCCACCCTCTCCATCTCCCAGTACCACTGCACACACATACCACATAGCAGTAACCCCAGACACTGACTTCCCTGGCTCACAGCCTAGCCCTGTCCTGTGTAAGGTCAGTCCAGGGAAGAAGTGAAGGGCTTTCATCAACCTCCCCTAAGAAAACCTTGCACTCCCACCCACACACAGTAGACCAGACGCACAGAGGGTGGTGTCCCCGAGGTCTGATTACCGAGACATTCTGCAGAACCTCTTGCTGCAGCAGCCGGACACTCCTGATGTTATCCTGAGATTGCTTTGCAAACAGAAAGAAAAGACGTCTCCATGTTAGGGATCAGCATAGAAACCAACTCTGCAAATATGTGCTTCTTCCCTAGACCCCTAAATCTATCCAGTCTGTGAGATCTCCAAGGCCAGAGGGACCAAAGGAGGACCCAGGAAGGGCTGGGCTGAACTGGCCCATGGGGAGGGGAGACAAGGTTGCAGCCATGAAAATAACTAAGCTTGGCCCCCCAGGAGCAAATGGAGTCCCAGGAGTTCTTCTTATTCTTAGAGCCTGAACACAGATTTGATAAGGAAGCGGTTTGATGCCTCTGGTCATTTGACATGGGAGGAAATAAGCCTATCTGCTTTGAGAACCACTACGGGCAGGATTTGGGCTCCATATTGCACATGGCGAGGAAGCAGGATGTGGGGGAGGACAGCCTGTATGCCAGAACTGCCTCTCTTGCCCTTGGAGCTTCCTCCACAGCCCAGCCACTCATTCCAGTTCTCAGATTTAGAGCCGAAGACTCCATTCGGGATGAAGCTTGGATGAATCTAGCTCTCTTCATGGTTTCCCTCGGGCTCTGTTTATTTCACAGAGCCCCAACTTTTTCTGCTCACATTTTTTCTGAGCCCCAATTTCCTCATGTGTAAATGGGGCTTGTGGTGCCTTCTGACCTCACAGAGTTATCACATGGGAAACTGGAAACTGATTAGGAAGCTGCGAAGGACTCAAGAATCATAAAATAGCTTCCCCCCTCACCCCACCGGCCCACTGCCCCTAGGAACCCCCACAGCTGAGTCCAGAACAGCTCTTTACTCACCACAGTGTCTTTCACAGCCCAGAAGGCTTCCCACAGTTTCTGGGGAACAACCCCCTTCACTTGGCAGGGCCCAAATTGGAATTCTTGGCCCTGGACCCCTGGCACCTGGCTCCAGAGAAGCAGGATAAGACCCAGGCAAGGGAGCACAGCCATCTGCATTTGGGAGACCGTCGCCAGCAAAGGAGGGCAGAAGGGTCTGCTGAAAGAAAGGGAGGCAGCCTGTGAGGCCGGCCCTGTGACCCAGAGTGACATACCCTGGGAAAATGCTTTGAGGGTGTCCCCAGGCCAATCCTGGGGGCTCTCCAATGGGAAAGTTGAGACTGTTGCAAACCGGCAGCCTTGCTAGGGTGCACTGAGGGTGAAGCAGGGGTCTTCCTGCCCCTCAGACTTAAAGCTGCTGGTCTTACCATCAGTCCACCTGCTCTTCCCCACCTTGCCCATCCACACCCGCACGCCCTGCACCTCCTCCTTCTCCATCGCAGTTCTCTCTAGCCTCTGACCTACAAGTCAGAATTTGACCCAGAAGAGTGGAGAAATGGGAGGTTCTAATGTGCCTCGTCTGGGGAGCCCAAACCTAGGAAAACAAAGAGCTGAACTAGACATGTGCTTGTCCAAGTTCTGCCCTGAAGTCACTAGGCACACATAGACAGCAGGTCTTTTTCTCCTCCCCAGGAGACGACTGTCCCTCACTCCTCATCACAAGGGAGCAAGGGGTTAATCCTGGTCCCAGGGAGGGACACAGAGGGCAGGTCAGGGTCATACACAGACTCTGCCACCTCCACTAACCACTCATTCTTGAGTCTAAGAAGTCACTTTTTTTTTTTTTTTTTTTTTTTACCAAATAAGAGAGAAGCATCAGATTTCCCAATGAATCATCTCTAAAGCCTTCCTCTGAAGTGCCGGTTGGGAAGGACTGTGTGCAGAACTTCCAAGCTGGGGTACCTAACGCCATTATGTATTTATTATAACCGATGCAGAGAATGTCTTTCCACCTGCCTTCTTTGCCCTTTGCTCTTTCCCTCCCTCTCTCCCTCCCTCCCTCCTTACCTTTCTTTCTTCCTTCCTTCCTTGCTTTCTGGCTCCCTCCCTTTCTCACTTTCTCCCTTTCTTTTGTGCTTCTTTACACAATCATTTAAGAACCTTTCTTACTCCAGGCACTGGTCTGACACCTAAAGAAACTGCCTCCCACCCCTACACCGGGAGGAAGACCAGAGAAGACCCGGTTCTGCTGGCACCTGGGCTAGGGAGGCAGCGACTCCTGGGTTATGGGTCACGGGGCACAGGGGCTATGCTTCAGCATCTCTCACAATGTCTTTTCATTCTGTTCTTTCAAAGTCCACAGGCTTTTTTTTCTCTCTCTCTTTTTGACAGGATTTCACTCTGTCACCCAGGCTGGAGTCAAGTGGCATGATCTCGGCTCACTGCAACCTCTGCCTCCTGGGCTCAAGCAATTCTCCTGCCTCAGCTTCCCAAGTAGCTGGAATTACAGGCACTCACCACCACGCCCGGCTAATTTTTTTATTTTTAGTAGAGACAGGGTTTCACCCTGCTGTCCAGGATGGTCTCGAGCTCTTGACCTTAAATTATCTGCCCACCTCAGCCTCCCAAAGTGTTGGAATTACAGGCATGAGCCACCGCACCTGGCTAAACTCCACAGGCTTTGCAGCCTCTGTTGAAAATTCATCTCTCAGTCTCGTGTTCCTCCCGGCCTTCCTCCCAAGCAGCCTCAATTCTTCTTGGTGTTAAATTGGCAAAAGCAGCTCCTCATCACAGTCATGTCTTGTCCCTACATCAATACTCAAAAAATTGACTTCTGCTGTCCCCACCTTGACCCCCTTTCACAAATAAAGCAGAGGTCTACTCCTTCAAAGAAAAGTACCCAAGAATCCCCATGCTCACCTCTGGTCCTGTAAGTGATGCTTGAGGGCTGGCTGCCTGGAGGGGGCTGGTTCTCTTTGCAGAAAAGAAAAGTTGGACAGGCACCCTCACCATTCACCAATCAGAGGCGTAGCTGTGGGTGGAAGGTTCCCGTCCCAGCCGTGGAAGTCGTTTCGGAAGTAAATGTTTGCAGGCAAGCAAGGCTTTGTGGAGATTTGGGCATATATATGGGGGCTGAGGGGGGAGGGGTGGAGGAAAAAGAGGGAGGTGGAGAAAGGGAAATTGGTCATGCTTTCCTAGCGAATTACTTCATTGCCTAGTCACCCATCACTTTAAGACAATAGGGTGATGGGGAAAGCAGCCCCTGAGGTGAGATGAGACCTGGATCTGAGTTCAGGCTCTACCACAGGCTGTGTGGGCAGGGACAAGTCTCTTAGCTTCTCTGAGCTGCAGTCTCTGCATGTATAAATTTTTTAAAAATCTGTCCCACCTCCCCCCAAGGGCAAGTGTAATAAACAAATGCAAAAACAACACAGAGGTCCTAGGTAAACTGTACACATGTTAATACATTATTACTGTGCAGCATGCACCAGTCTCCTTCCTGTCAAAATAATTCAATAATGATGCCTTATTCATGCTGGGACAGTAGTCCACAGAGAAGGAATCACCTGTAAGTACCTCTCCTTTAATCCATCAGGGCCAGGAAGTTGAGGAGTGTTTCCTGACATGCAGCTACCCTTGGTCCTTAGGGTTATAATCACTCAATCAAAATGTGCCTCTCCTTAGGTTCTGGAAACCTGGAAGAATAAGGAAGTGAATGCATGGACAAGCCCAGAAAGCTGGAAGGCCTGGTGTTCTGGTGGGCTAGTCTTGGCCTGTGTGGCTCTGAACCACTCAGGGGACACCGAGAGTGTGATGTGTCAAGAGTGCCAGTGCAGTCAAGAGCTCTGACCCTATCTCCAGCTAGCAAGGCACTCAGCTCTAGATTCTACCATGTGCCCAGTGAGAGCATCAAGCAGAGCACTGTTTCCCAAAGCACAGTCCTCAGACTCTAGGCTTGAGGAATTCTGGTCTTGCAAGATCCTCCATGAAACAGATGAATCCTAATGAAGTCAGTTAGAGAGCCCTGGCATGTGCTAGCCCGTCCTGGAAATGTCTGATGCTTCTTAACTCTGTTTAATCCAGCATTTCCCATAAGTATTTGCCCACATCCCTGAGGAATACATTTTGGGAATCAGGGATTGGCCAACTGTAGGTCACAAGCCAAATCCAGCCTGCCACTGCTAAGCTGAGAATGGCTTAACCTTGCGACCTAAGAGTACTTTTTACATTTTTTAATGATTGGGGAAAAAATCAAAAGAAAGACATTATTTGCAGGTTTCTGTATCCATAAATAAAGTTTTCATGGGTCACATATGTTTGTTGACATATTGTCGCTAATTGCTTTCGTGCTACAGAGGCAGAGATGAGTAGTTGTGACTGAGACCATATGGCACACAGAGCCTAAAATAGTTCCTATCTGGTTCTTTACAGGAAGAGTTTGCCCAACCTGGGTCCAGGCATGGGAAACAGGAGTAGGAATGTGATGTGGGGGACAGGATAACTGCCTCCAGCTCAGTGGAGATTAAAGAAAAGAGGAGAGTGAGTAGAACACTCTCTTGGCAGATTCTTCCCAATCTCTCTGGCACCAGCACCCCCTCCCTCCATCTCATACTCAGTGTTGTTTATTTTCTTAAGCAAACAAAATACTCCTGTGTAATCCCTGGCCAGCATCCTGCTCGGCTATAGCTGCCACCACCCGGAATCCTTTGTTCCTGGAGGGCCCGAGTCTTACCCTCCAGAAGTAGGCACAGCCGCACAGCACACTCTCTTTCCCCACTCCCCTCCGCCTGCCATAAGGATTTAGGGCATTACCAAGAACCCCTAACTAACTACTATGAGATAAAGATGTCAAGAGGCAGTGATGAGACAGAAAAGACCAGGTGAGAATGCTGGAATAATAGGTGAGTGGGAGGCAGGAGACGGCTAAGGCAGGAAGCTGAGAGGGAAAATGAGCCCCCGGGGCAGCTGCAGTCCTAGACTACCGTCTGCAGATAGGCAGTGAGGGCAGGCAGGTGGGATGAGCTGTCAAAGGGCAGGCTGGAACAGAGGCATGAGGTCATGGATACACCTTGGCTGGCCTCAGGATACACCTGGGATCGTGAGTAGCTCACTCTGTCTGAGGAAGGAATCATATAACATAGATAGTTCAGGTAAACACGTGCCTGGGCCTTAGCCTCCGATGAGCTTATCATAGCATCATTACTTGAGAAGGAAGGTCAAGGAGAGAACCTAGGCACCTTGGCCCAACATCAACTGAGAATCTAGTTATGAGCACCAGCTTTGGAGGCAGGCAGACCTGGGTTCAAAATGTGATTGAGCCACATATGAGCCCTCTGAGCCTCAGCTTCCTCATCTGTGAAATAGAGTCCTCATATGACCATGAGGATGTGATGACCTGCAGCTTTGCTCACCGAGTGTGGCCCATAAGCCAGCAGTAATAGCATTATCTGGGACCTTGTTGGACATGTAGAATCTTGGGCTGGGTATAGTGGCTCACGTCTGTAATCCCAGCACTTTGGGAGGCCAAGGTGGGAGGATTGCTTGAGCCCAGGAGTTTGAGGTCAGCCTAGGCAACATGGCAAGACCCTGTCTACAAAAATAAATAAAAATTAGTTGGTTGTGATGTCACATGCCTGTGGTCCCAGCTACTTGGGAGGCTGAAGCAGGAGGATCATTTGAGCCCGGGAGGTCAAAGCTGCAGCGAGCCATGATCTTGCCACTGCATTATAGCCTGGGTGACAGCGCAAGACCCTGTCTCAAAAAAAAGAAATAAAAGTAAAGTAGAATCTCAAGCCCTTCCAAAAAAAAAAAAATGACTGAATTAGAATATTCAGTTTAAGAACCTTCCAAGGTGATGCTTATGTTCATTACATTTTGAGAACCATCAGCATAAAACACATGAAAGATTTAATTCAGTGTCTTCTCTGTGGAATGCTTAATAAACAAGAGCCCCAGATAAAGGGAGAATGGACTGGTTTAGGGGATCTCAATGAGGTGACTTCATACTCAGGGGACACTGGGCAACGTCTGGAGATATTTTTGGTTGTCATAACTTGGAGGTGCTATTGGTATCTAGTGAAATGGCCTGGGAATGGGGCACAGGACAGCCCCTCACCACAAAAAACAATATGACCTAAGGTCAATAGTGCTGACGGTAAGAAACCCTGGATAAGAAGGAAGCAGTGGCTATGGGGGAAATTGCAGGAATAGGGACAGAGGAAGAGAAGAACATGACCTTTATTGGGAAGGAAGGCAGTAAGCTGATCAGATGATCAGGGGAGTGGGAAAAACAAGGTGGCAAGTTGGAAGGTAGTGCCCAAAGGCCACCAGGTGGAAACGGTGGGGAGGCCTGGCTCACTGGTCCACCTCTAGGGAAGCCCCAAGTCTCAGACTTTAAGAGGTTGAAGGAAGTGGGGCTGGCCCTTTTGTCCAGATTCATATATTTTAATCCAAACTCTCTCCTGTACCAGACCAAGGTCTGGGGCTCTACTAACCTCTACGAAAGGATGGAACTTGGGGAGTTTTACAAAAATATTGGGTGGAAGAAAAGTTTATCTAAAGATAAATCTTCACATGCAAGACCGTTTTTTTTTTTCTCCAAAATATTCCTTATTAGATTCAGAGGTTTTATTCTAATAATCTCATCCCATCTCTGTCCTGTATATCTCTCTGTAGAGCCTGAATTTCACATTTGAGAAATAAATATAATTATTTAGAATTAGAGTATATTCTAAATAAATATACTCACATTTAGAAGACTACAAAGTCTTCT